GGGCCACGAAGCGCGCGAGGGGTGCGCCGAAACAGAAGCATGCGGAGGGCAGAGGCAACGATGGGGGACGAGGAGAGGAGAGGAGAGGAGAAGGGCGCGGGGACTGTCTCTTCAAAACGAGGGCCCTACACCAGTGAGTGATTGGGAGTAAGAATAGTTTCATCCAAACAAGTAAAGGAAACCGAGCAGGCACAAGCGAAACCAATAATCTGCTTAAGTGGAAGCTACAAAGCTGAGAAAGCGCAGCTCTCTCTCTCTCTCTCTCTCTTTCTCTCTCTCTGGTCCCATACAGTTCAACTTTGGTTTTCTTTGAGGCAAATTCGAATCGGATGCCCTCTTGTAGAGGGTCACAGTCAGGAGTTCATCTTACGCGAAGTACCAAAACATCATGTGTGTGACGGGTTTCCATCGGTTTTCTTGTGCGGCGGATTCCAGAGTGATTCCTTTTGTGGCGTATTCCGCAAGGGTTCCTGCTGCGGCGGATTACAAAAGGACCCTGATAATGTCAGACTATTCAGGACGCTGAAAGTCTCAAGGGGGCCACTCCCAGCCCCCCGAAAAATGCACTGGGAGGGCCCCAAAGAACCGAAAGGCGCGTGTGGGACCCTCTATGCTTTCAGCGCAACAGCAACAGAAATATCGACGGCATAATTTCCCGCTGTTTGAATCCTATAGGGTAGGTTTCCGCTTCCGATGTGCTTGCTCTCCGCCGAGAATTCGACGGCATCGGGAAGCTGGATTCGGTAGTGATATGCTCGACGTGACGTTTGTCTGGCTCGGGCACGCCCTCTTATCCGAGAGAAACTCAGACCTCAGTGGCGCCTGCGTCGCCGGAGCCGGAGTAGATACGGACGCGGCAGCGCGAATGGCGATGGGGCGCATTTTTGTCAGCGCAGAGCATTGGGGGAGTTAGCCGAACCCCTCCATGAACGCAACGCAAGTCTTATCTCTGCGAGGACGCCCGACGCAAAAGATTATCTGATCTGGGGGTTCACGACAAGGGAACAGCAAAGATGATCCCAAATGGCGAATGGACAGTCGACGACGGTTCCTCATCGGCTCTCAGAAAGTTTCGCGGTGACGCGATGAGGTGCTCGGGACTCCGCGGGACCTCTGCGCAACGGCACGGAATTGTGAAAACAACCATTGATTTTTTTACGTCGGGATTTTGCGGTACCCCAGGATCGACCCCAGGACTTCGCGATCCCAGGTCCGTGCGCACCGGTCCTTTCGCCAGGATTCTGAGGGGGTGCGGGGGGTGGATTGGCTGCTGCGCAGTCGGACCTTGCAGAAATGGAGTATCACCGCGCGCGCGGGCGCGGTGCCAAGTTGAAGTGGCATGTGGAATCTGCCGTGGGCGGTGGCGGGTATCATGGCCAAGGCCACGAAATCTTCCTTCCGAGACTTCCCCTGGTTCCCACCCCTTCTCGTCCACGCACATACCTCGTGCCAGGATGCGCTCCCCCTTCTCCTGGCCCGCGCTTCGGCGCGCCTGATCCACTGCCAGCAGGCAGTAGCTCAAGGCAGGGCTCTGTCCGGTAAGAAGAGGAGCTGCGCAAAACATAAATGACTGGGTGTCCGCGCTGATGTCTTGGATCGGCGCTGGGCCTCCCTGGCGGCGCTTCCGGCGCCGCCCGTGGCGGGCTACCCTCGCCAGGGATGGGTCCAGCGACGATCCAAGACGTCCGCGCGGACCTCCGAGAGTTTCTGCTGACGCGGCGTTTCTGCTTTTATGTCCTGGAGCAGCGCGAAGAAAATTTGTCGCTACGCATGGCCAGCCACTGCGAGAGTTGGCACGTGGGGCGTGTCTCGGGGGTCCCCAGACGGGGTGGTGACCACACCGTGCCGTGAGTCGGTGGGGATCCGGGGTCACCGCACGGTTTTGGGACCCGGGTCGTTCTCCGAGGACGTCTCGGGCGATTGGGGCTTCCGCGGTCCCAAAACCGTGCGTTGACGGACCGTGCGGTGAGGTCTTGGGGGATCTCGAGGTCACCGCACGGTCTGTCACCGCACCGCTTCGGGATTCCAAAACGTGTTTCCAGCGCTGGGTACGTTATGTGGCGGGGTGCGTCCGCCCTCCGCGCGCGCATCCAGCACGTGCCCTCCGCATTTCCCACACGAATCATAGCCATGTGGTCTTCCAGTTTCCTGGCAGCTGGCCTGCTGTACTGGGTCAGTATGTCAGGCCAGTGACGGGATACCGCACCAAAAAGCACACAAACAGAGAGCACCGCAGAAGAGGGAGCACGTTTCGAGCGCTGGGAGATGGCGGACTGGATCCAGTCGATATGCGAAGCTATGCGCGTTTGTGTGTGTGTGGTTGTTTGTGTGTAGTGTGTATGTGTGTTGCGTGTGTTGTGTGCGTGTGTGTGTGTCTGTGTGGGCGTGTGTGTGTGCTATGTGTGTTTGTGTGTGTGAGTGGTGAGTGTGTGTGTGTGTGTTTGTGTGTGCTTGTGCTTGTGCTTGCGTTTGTGTTTGTTTGTGGTTGTGTTTGTACTTGTGCTTGTGATTGTGTATGTGCTTGTGCTTGTGCTTGTGATTGTGCGTGGGCTTGTGCGTGTGCTTGCGTGTGTTTGTGTTTGTGTTTGTGGTTGTGTGTGGTTGTGTTTGTGTTTGTGTTTGTGTTTGTGGTTGTGTTTGCGTGTGTGCTTGTGTGTGTTGGTGTTTGTGTGTGTTTGCGTTTGTGTGTGTGGTTGTGATTGTGTGTGAGTTCGTGTGTGTATGTGACTGTGCTTGTGTGCGTGTGTTTTCTTGTGTGGTTGTGGTTGTGTTTGTGCTTGTGGTTGTGGTTCTGGTTGTGTGTGTTTGTGTGTGGTTGCGTGTGTGCTTGTGGTTGTGATTGTGTTTGTGATTGTGCTTCTGCGTGTGTGCATGTGTGTGAATGTGTGTGGACGTGTGTGTGTGTGTTGTGTGTTGTGTGCGTGGTGTGTGTTGTGTGTGTTGTGTGTTGTGTGTTTGTTATGTGTGTGGTGTGTGTGTGTGTTGTGTGTGGTGTGTGTGGTTGCGTGCGTGTGTGTGTGTGTTTTGTGCTGTGCTGTGTTGTGGTGTGTTATGTGTGTGTGTGTGGGGGGGGGGGCGGGTGTGCCTACGTGTGTGCGTATGTGTGTGTGTGTGCGTGTGTGTGTGCCTGTGTGTGTTTGGGGGAGGGGGGGGGGGGAGCGGGCGGGCGGGCGGGCGTGCGTGCGTGTGTCTGTTTCTGTGTGTATGTGTCTGTGTCTGTGCCTGTGCCCATGTCTGTTTCTATGTGGTTGTGTCTGTGTGTCTGTGTCTGTGTGTGTTTCTGTGTGTGTGTGTGTCTGTGTGTGCGTGCGTGTGTGCGTGCGCACGAGTGCGCGCGAAGATCAGAGCGGATAAGTGCGTTCATCATGGACAGTTTTGCGTCTGCGCATTGGGAGTCTAGCTGTATAGGGTCACCATCACCGTCGCCTGGTCGTACGTACGACCGTGTTTCTGTCAAGATAGGTTTCCCCTGCAGATCAGCTCAACCTGGCTCGCCCATCCATGCCGTCTGGACGCGGAAGTCATATCTACGGTGTTTGCAAAGTCTGCGTCCGCATGTCTTTCAACAAGCGTGCTCCATTCATCTAACACTCCAGTCGAACTCTCGTAGTATCCCTCGTTTGGCGTACCTTGCCGAGATGCGGTGGTTGCTGTCTATTCCGAATGTTTCAAATTCGGCCAGCTCCCTCCAGAGTGGTGAAAAAAGGTTGCCTCCCGTTCAGCCATCAGCCCCCCCAACTCCAGTTGAGACGATTTGTGGGGTGGCATGACATTGCCGTCGCCCTCCGACTGGAAAACTCATCGCATGTGCTATGCCCACTTGTGAACGTACGTATACACACATGTAAATACCAATATATATACAGTGTAGGGAGAGAGGGGTCACAAGTGACAGTATATCCTCGTGGTGCTCATCCCGTTGCTCCTCGTCCTTGTCATCCCTTCCATTCTCACACAACAGTTCTCCCTACAACCTTCCACTAATACCCTGGCGGTTGGCACAGGACCGCGTAGTTGTTCTTTCGACGAAGAAAGCGTACGCACACCAGGGTCAGTCAAAGCAGGATTATGGCGTGGCGTCTGCATGTGGACCATCGGACCCTTGCAACCCGCAAAACAGTGGAGCAAAAGGGGGAGAAGAGGTTGAACAGAGAAGAAGGACAGGAGAAGACCAAGCCACATGTCCAGTTGCTCACGGCGCTGTGCACGTCACGTGCTGTTGTGCGCATGAGAGGAGTTTGTTGGCACGTTCGATATCAGGCAACGCATGTGCTTACTACAAGTTAGCTTGCTGACGATGCTCAAGAACCGTATTTCAGCTACTGGTTGCAGCAGCCTCTGATGGAGCGTGTTGGCGAGCCGCTGGCATAGTGAGAGGCGCAAGGGCCAGTGGGAGCAAGGGGGCGGTTTAGATGATGTGGGCATGAAGCTAACCACCATGAGATACCATTGGACAAGGCGGATGGCAAAGGAAGATAGGTCCCAGAAGGCAGAAGGCGAAAGAGGAAGAGGATGACGTGGTGTGAACAGCGACAGTTAGAGATGGAGGACCGGCTGTCAGATAGAGGCTGCGTGATGAGCACGCATGGCAGCCGGTATTCTCACTCGTTCTTTCTCTCTCTCTCTCTCTCTCTCTTTCTGTCTCCCTATATTTATCTGCGTGTCTGCGTGTTGTTCATCTCGCCACGCATCTTCATGCGCTTCGCGTGTGTGCACGGAGGTCCGTGTTTCCACAAGCGCGCCCATGCATTTCCACATCTGCCACCGCAGGGGCACAGGATACCGAACGCTCGAGTTTGGGAGGGCGGATTCGACTGGTCTGCGAGCGCCCCGTCGTGCGACTGCCCCTCCTGCTTCCGTCCTTCTCGCCGGCTCGGGCGGCGACCGATCGTGGCACGTTGGCCTTCACGCCGTGCCCCCGCTGCCGCTGCCGGGCGCGCCCCTGCCTCTGCCCCCCGCTCCTCGTGCCTGGGAGGTCCGCGGCGGGAGCTCCAAACGCCATGGTGAAGGTGGAGAGCAAGGCCATCGCCGCCCACCAAACCACCCCAACCCAACCCGAAGGCTCCGATTTGCCCTCCATTTCCAGTAGGGGGGATCAGGGAGCATTGAGAAAACACGTGTGAAGCCCGTACCCCCCCCCCCGGCCCGAAATTCGGTTCTTCGGCTTGGGTTGGGGTGGTCTGGTAGGTAGTCAGGTCAACCCCGGTCGCCAGCGGTTCCTCACCAAGTGTATCGAGCCCAAGGGCACCGGCAAGTGCGTCGTGTACTGGATGAGCAGGGACCAGCGGGCGGACGACAACTGGGCGGGCCGGGAGGGCACGGGCCCGGAAAGCCGATGGCGTGAGGTCTCAGCTTCGGCGCAGCGTTTTGGAGGGAGCGCCAGCGTCAGACCCCCGACAGGAGAGAATGGGGGGAGGGTTGACTGACCGAGCCCCCCTCCCCCCTTCAAGGGTGCCTGCCTCCTCACCTCCCCCCTCCAAGGGCGCCTGCTCTTGACACCCCCAGCTCCCCCCTCCCCTTCTAAAGCTGCTCGTTTCGCGCGCCACAGTCTACCTGCAATGCCATGGTCTCCTCCACCCGGCCTGAGCTATGCCCCGACGCCTGTCCGCACTGGTAGTCGCTCGCACCCCCCCCCCTCTCCCCCCTTGGCGGTGCAAGAGCGAGGTGATCGCGCTCCGGCGCATGGTGGTGTTCGGGGTAGGGTGTTGGCGTCAGGGTTTTAGGGTTAAGGTGTTCGGGTTGGTGTGTTCGGACCAGCCAGGGTGGAATGGTTGGGGTATTTCGGGTTAGGGTGTAAGGCTTAGTGTGTGAGGGTTTGGGCTAGGGCTTCAGCCTCAGGGTCAGAGCGTCAGGGTTAGGATGTCAGGGTATCAGGGCCAGGGTGTTAGGGTGTTAGGTCTAGGGTGTCCAGGCGGGGCCGTTTAGGGTCATAGTGCTAGGGTCAGGGTAAAGAGGGTAGGGGTAGCGTCAAGTGACGTAGCCGGGTCGAGCGAGTCAGAGAGCCCAGCATATTCTCGCCCTCCCTCCCACAGCAAAACAGTCAGGTGTGACTCACACGGGTACTGGGATTGGAGCACGCCCCCACCTCGCCAACGGGAGGCGCTCGCGCGAGGGCCCCGCTGCCGACGACTCGGCGAAGGGAACTGCAGGGCGCCCCCTCCTCTGGAAGGAGGGCGGGGAGCCTCGGACGATGGATCGGGCAGGGGCTGCGGCGGGGGGGTCCAGAACGGCGGACCAAGGAAAGGGGGGTAACGACAGCATCAGGGAGCAGATTAGAAATGCGAACAGAGCCCAGGGCAGAATTCAACAGATAGTCGGGAGAACGAAAACCACACGGATCAACGAGATGACAGGAATGACGGCAAGGAGCGCGAGGGAGAGGAGGAGAGGAGTCCAAGCGGAAAAATTGGTGGAGAAAAGGCGGCCCTTTTTCGAGCACAGGTCTGTGAAAGGGGGAACATCCCCCCCGCATCTTCGGTTCCAATCAGCTGTGCGCGCCCTCTAAGGCTCAAGCGTCGGGTTGAAGAATCCATTTACTTCACGATGGTTTTCAAGTCACTACGGTCCAAGATCGCCCTCGATGCTGGACGTCCAGCGGGGATCTCGACCAGGCGTGTCTCACTCCGGGGCGGCCGCAAAGGCGCGCGGGAGGACAGGGAATTGGAACGCAGTGTTGCAATCGTTTCGCGAGGCTTCCCGGCAATTGGAGAGCGTCAGCCCAGGTCGGTACGTTGCCACTGCCAGCGCATGCGGCAAAGGCCAGCAGTGGCAATGGGCGCTGTCGCTCCTCAGCGAGATGACGGAATCGAAGGTGGAGGCGGACGTCATCTGCTACAGCGCCAGGGTCAGCGCGTGCGATCGAGGCAAGCAGTGGCAGAGGGCACTGTCGCTGGTCCGTGAGATGTGGGAGGTGAAGCTGAAGCCCGACGTCGTCTGTCTAGCTCGAATGCCGGGCTCACCGCATGCGGGAAGGTCGGGCGCCCCCAACCCAAGTGCTTCAAGATCGGCCCAGCCGGCCACGGCGCACCCGCGTGCCATCCCAGGCGCTCCAAGACGGCCCACCATAAGTGTTTGATTACTGTTGACGTTCTCGCCATGCCGATTTCCGATGCTCCAAGCCAGCCCAAGAGGCCCCGAGCATCGCCACAGGACAGCCCAACAGGCCCCCTAAGAGGGCCCCCAGACCGCCCAAGAGGACCCCAAGACGGCCAAAGAGGCCCCCAAGGCGGACCAAGACAGCCCAAGGAGGGCCCTATTGGATTTCGCGCCCTCCGCCCCAAGATGACCCCCGAGACAGCCAGCAGGCCTCCAAAAGGGCCCCCCAGAGAAGCCCCAGGAGGCCCCCAAGTGGCCCACGACAGGCCCTTAGAAGTCCCCTCCGGGCCGCAGCACAAGACCACCTCCAAGAGGATTCCGAGGGTAGACCCCTGACGAGCTTCTCGACCGCGCCGGCCACCCAGGAAAGTAAGGCATGCATGCGTTTCTTGTGTTCTTTCTTTTGGGGGAGCGGCTCCAGTCTCAATGGGTGACCCGTCAGGGAGTTCTCCCTGAGAGTGCTCCGGGCCCGCCAGCCACCACGCGCAGGCTCCGCAGTGCCTTCCGCCTTCTTCCGAGCCTACGCAGCCCGCGCGCCTCCTCCGACCTCCTCAGACGGCCACATCGTTGGAACAGAAGGCGCGCACGCCCTTCTCAATTCTTGACGCTTCGCGTATTCCCACCACCTGCCCGCTAGTTAGTCACGGCCGCAGCCCGACCGTGACCGCTCGCCGCTGGCGCCTCCGCCTGCGGCGGATATATATTATATATATATATATATATATATATATATATATAAAATATATATATATATTCCCACCACCTGAGGCAACACTACCACCAGTGCAGCTCCCTTTACTCTTCGCCGCTGGCGATGCTCACCACGCCAGCTGGTTCCCCCCCCACTCAGAGGCCTGACGCCGTGCCGGCACGCACTGCGTGGCTCACAGTCGCTCGGTTCCCCCTTGCGCTGTGGGGTGGTCTGACAGGTGTTGGCTTCGTTACGGAGTGGTTCAGCCTTCCGCAGCAGGTACAGCATTCCAGGCCCACCTTCAGCTTTCCCCAGTTGCGTTGCACCACGGTTCGCGACAGCTCAGCCTTTCTGGCTAGCTCAAGTCGTCAGGGCGTTTGGAGCCTGGCGCCCCACTGGCGACTCACTCCAATGGCTTCCCACTTGCCCCCACTCAGCACGACGGACTTGACCATGCTGGTTCACGTCTCTACTGCGCGGGGTCGTGCCATGGCAGGCACCGAATTCCGTGACACTTTGTCCTGTGCGCGCGCTCGAGCTCTCAGGATGCCGTTCGCCGTCAGCTCCCCCTTTCAGCGTCGCGGCTGCTTTGTGAGTGGGCCGGCCGGCCCGTGCCTGTTGTAGCTAATTAGCTTCGCTCGCGTCCCGGACTTTGCTCTTGCCGCCTGACCTTTGTCTCGTGGCCGCGACCAAACAAGTATTCCCACCAGTCCTGCCTCCCGGTCCGTGCGCGCGGGGCGCTCGGGCGGCTGGTCGCGTCGCTTGACTTGATGTCCTACCTGTACGGCAGATTTCGATATGGTCGCCACCTCGGTCCCAGGTAAGTGCGGCGTACGCCTCTACTCCTCGCACGGCCCTGCTGTTCAACGTGGTTGCCTGGGGTGCATGCCTCTCGCCATGGCCTTTATGGTGCTGCTGGCTCGTCTACCTCGCGCTACCCGCACACACGCCGGCCAGTTTGTCGTGGGGTGAGTTCCTCTTCCGCGCCATTTGGGCCGCGCTGCTCCCATTCGCCCTGTCGTGCTCGCGGCGGGCACGGTCTTCGTCAAGTCCTACCTGTACGGCAAGGTTGGCGCCCTGCTTCCATTTTTCCCGCGTGTTCTACGGCGTCGGCAAGGCTTCGCGCTCGCCCGGGGTAGGGCCTGCTCGGCCTTCCAGCTGTACGCGGCCCCGCGATTCCGTTCCTGTGGTGTTCCTCTTCTTCACGTTCGGCACCGTCCTCGCGGTCCTGGCGCTACTCCTGCATTCTCGCTCTCGGCCACCTCTGAGATCCGCCTGTTTCGGCGTGTTCGTCGCATGTTTTTTTTCCTTCGCAGGTGGCATGGCCTGCCCCTGCTTGCCCAGCGTCCGACCTGCTTCGTGCGCCTGCGTACCAACAAGGATCCCCACCAGTCCATCCAGAAGCAGATCGCCAGGCGAGTTGCATTGATCTGGGAAGTGCAGAAACAAGGAGTGCAACAACCGCCTTGGAAATGTTTTCTTGGAGGTCGTTCGGAGCCGTGTTGGGTGTTTTGGAGTCTTCACAGGGCTACCTGGGGCACTTTGGGGGCCCTCTTGGGGCTCCTTTGCGGGGGTCTGGAGGACCTTTGGGGACCGTCGTGGGCCCCCCGTGTGGGCTTTCTTGGGGCCATCTTGGAGGACATCGATCAAAGAAGGAGTGGGATCAACTTAGGCCCCCTCCTCAGAGGCTCCAAGATGGCCTCTTGGGGGCCTCTTGGGCCGCTCTTGGGCGTTTCTTGGGTGGTCTTGGGTCCGTTTGAGGCCATTCTGGGGCGGCAAGAAGCGGTTCTCCCGGAAAAGACCTGGCTCCCCGGGAAAAGGATTGGTTCTCCGGGTGAAAGTAGCCAAATGCCGAGTCGCTTGGTTGTCTGGGTGAGACCCTCACAGGTTCTCCACCCCTTCAAACAAATCAAGCCCCTATCCCCAAACACCAGACACCAAACACCAAAGACCAAGCACAAAACCCCAAACACCGAACACCAAACACCAAACCCAAAGCATCCAACTCCCAAACACCAAACCCCAATTGCTAAACACCAACCCCCATCCCCCTAAACACCAAGCATCAAACACCAAAAACCCAACCCCAAGCACCAGACACCAAACACCAACCACCAAACCCCTGATGATGATGAGAAGGATGATGCTGATGATCATGTTGATAACGACGAAGACGACGACGATGATGATGATGATGATGATGATGATGATAATGATGATGAGGATGATGATGAAGATGACGATGGTGGTGACGATTACCATGACGACCACGATGGCGACGGTGGTGATGACGATGACAATCAGGATGAGCATGATGAGGAGAAGGATGAGGATCTGGAGCAAGAGGGGGAAGAGCATGCGAGGACGTAGAGGAGGAATACTGATGCGGAAGAGGGTGATGAGTAGGAGGAGGATTGGTTCGAACGAGGGCGACGGACGGGATGAAGATGGTGATGATGATGATGCTGGTGGTGCTGGTGGTGATGATGATGATGATGATGATGATGGTGATGATGG